CTTCGAGCCAGCCCGGATCTCCTTCATCTCTCCTAGAGACCATGCCAGCTCTGAAACTGAGAAATCGAGGAGTTCTTTGCAGTCCTCAATCGCTATTTGTTCCCGGGGACTTATTGATAAGCTATTGAACGTTGTAACCATTTCTTTGGCTAGTCTTGCCTCATTGAGTGTAGCCTCGAGCGCTGCTCTGAGGATTGAGGTGGGGCTTCTATGCCCTGAATCTGCAAGCCTGGATTCCAAGTTTAACAGGCATGAACTATGGTCTTCGACGTTATTGCAAGCTTGAATAATCATGGTTTGCAATGTCTCGTTTTGGTGTTTCGAAACATTTCCGTAGGAGAGAACATCAAGTGAAGAGAAAATAATGAGAAGGGAGAGAAAATGAGCCAATGCCATTGATCGAGTAAGATGGCGCATGGGAAAGGAGAAGATGGCTGTGGCAATTTTGTCTGGAAAGAGTTATTGATTTGAGAAATGCAGCGTGATTATTCATTGTTTGTTGTGAAAGAAAAGGTGATTTTTCAGGACATCAAAAAAAAAATATGCCTTTTCCCACAACAAAGTTCAAGTGATGCTTACTTGCATTGCATGACATCGTGCCGAAAGTCACCTACTATTTCTGCCTTGCTGGGTAAGTAAGCTTCTTCAGAGTTCAAACAAGGGAGGTCCTCTTAATGTTAAGCTATTTAGCGGATGATGAACGGCCACACATGTGCCATCAGTCCAGTAATCCTGCCCATCAGATCAATGCAAATCCATGACACAGTATACTCATGGNTTGCATGACATCGTGCCGAAAGTCACCTACTATTTCTGCCTTGCTGGGTAAGTAAGCTTCTTCAGAGTTCAAACGAGGGAGGTCCTCTTAATGTTAAGCTATTTAGCGGATGATGAACGGCCACACATGTGCCATCAGTCCAGTAATCCTGCCCATCAGATCAATGCAAATCCATGACACAGTATACTCATGGAATGACGATATATCGATATAGTAATGCTAAACAGATTTAAAATTTAGACTTAAAATACAGGTTTGGTCTTGTGGCTGCTGATGTATACCAACAATGTCATCAATTTCTTGTCCAAAAAAAATAAAAAATAAAAAATCTGTTTTTAAAAAAAGATCAGATGACTTGGTCAATCATCTTCTCCGGTCCCTTTCACGAAACCAAATACCGCCAACCACCCATACGATTTCTTTATCAGCTCCTCCCTACCCCCTTTCTATTTAAAAANGGAATGACGATATATCGATATAGTAATGCTAAACAGATTTAAAATTTAGACTTAAAATACAGGTTTGGTCTTGTGGCTGCTGATGTATACCAGCAATGTCATCAATTTCTTGTCCAAAAAAAATAAAAAATAAAAAATCTGTTTTTAAAAAAAGATCAGATGACTTGGTCGATCATCTTCTCCAGTCCCTTTCACGAAACCAAATACCGCCAACCACCCATACGATTTCTTTATCAGCTCCTCCCTACCCCCTTTCTATTTAAAAAAATTGAACCCAATAAATTGGGTTTTCTCCATAGCCACATCCGAAGCCGAACTGGTTGATGTTTCACCCCTATGCTTAAGACCTTTCTGTTTAAAAAAAAAAATTGAACAGTCGATTGTTTCACCACATCCGAAGCCGAACTGATTGTTGTGGCTCTTGGGTGAGGTCTTCAAGGGTTTTTTGGAATTCCTATGGATGGCCGACGGTGTTTGGTTTAGTGAAAGGAAAGGGAGAAGACGAGGGAAGTGGGAACAAGGAACAGAGAATCTTTCTTTAAAAATAGATTTTTTATTAATTTCTTTTTTTTGGAAAGAAACTGATAACATGACTGGTACACATCAGCAACCACATCATCAAGTCTGTATTTTAAGTCTGTCTAGCATTGCTCTATGGATATTCTTTTCATTAACTTTTCAAGTGCAACGTTGATTTTGGGAGAGTATCCAATATGTCATGGCACCCATTACCTAGATATTAGATAATTCTAATATTTTATAATTGATTAACTTTTTTGGAGTTATAAATTGAGCCTCATTCAGTTGCAATTAATTTTTTTGAATTATAACTCAACCTTAACTGAGTTATAAGTAATTCTTATGGAATCATAACTTTACAGTAACAATCTTGTACCCAAAGTCATCCCATAATATGTAAATTATGCGAAAAAATTTAATGCCGATTCTTTACTTAGACCAGTTGGTAACTTGATCCATGAGTGTGGGTCAGACCTTGTCTCAATCTGGTTTATGACGTAGGTTGCGCTCTCTCTTTACTAAACCCCTGCTGGCGTCGCCCGGTCAAACGCGTTATGTATTATGAAGAATCTCTAAAAGTCCTTATATATAAATACTAGTTATTACACCTGAAAATACATAGTAATAAAAAAAATAATTAATAATAAATATATTTGTATTAATATTAAAAATTAAATCATAAAATATAGAGGAGAGAGAAAAAAAATTAAACCTTAGTTGTAATAGGGGTGAGCAGTGGTACTAGTGATAGGCGGCAGTGGGAATAGTGGTAGAAGACGGTGATAGTTGTTGTGGGTGGCGACGATCATGGTGATGGTGGCAACCGTGGGCAGCAACGATCATGGTGCTGGTTAGTTTTAGGTGACAATGGCGGTAGTGATAGACATGGGTGACTACGGTGATGGTGGTTGGTAATAGTGGTGGTGGGCGACGACGGATTCTTCTGGATGATAATGTGATGAGTGGTGTCAAATGACAATGGTGGTGATGGTGGTAGGTGTGGATGACANGGTAGTGATAGACATGGGTGACTACGGTGATGGTGGTTGGTAATAGTGGTGGTGGGCAACGACGAATTCTTCTAAATGATAATGTGATGAGTGGTGTCAAATGACAATGGTGGTGATGGTGGTAGGTGTGGATGACAGTGGGCAATGATGGTGACAACAATGGTGGTGGTGATGGGGTGAAGGCGGCAATGGTGGTGGTGGTGGTAGTGGTGAGACGATAGGGTGATAGTGGTAGGGGTAATGGTGGGACAGTAGCGGTAGTAGTGCGGTAGTGGCAGTGATGATAGTAGGGTGGCGACAACGGTGGTGGTGGGGGCGGTGGTAGAGGGGATGGAGGTGGTGGNACGGTGGTGGTGGTGGTGGTAGTGATGAGACGATAGGGTGATAGTGGTAGGGGTAATGGTGGGACAGTAGCGGTAGTGGTGCGGTAGTGACAGTGATGATGGTAGGGTGGCGACAACGGTGGTGGTGGTGGCGGTGGTAGAGGGGATGGAGGTGGTGGGCTGGCGGCGATGGTTGTTGTGGCAAAAGGTAGTGGTGGGATGGCGGGCAATGGTAGTAATGGGGGCGAGGTGGTTGGAGTGGGGTGGCGGTAATGGTGGTGGATTGGCGACGGTTGTGGGACGATTTCAAACACTATTTTTTTTTAAAAAATAATTATGAGAAGTTATAAATTACTTTTAAAAAGTCATTCAAACATACTCTTAGAGGTCTATTCCCTATTAAATTTGAGATATTAATATTAGACGTCAGATTAATTTTAAAGTAAAATTTAAAGAGATTTTCACCGGAAAAAATAAAAATTATTTTATTTATCTTTTAAAATTTAAATTGTATTTTACTTTATTATATAAATGACAGAGTCCAACCATTAAGCTATCCCAAAAGTAGGAAGTGACGACGGCAGCTCCAATATATATCAATCAATAAAAAAATTAATATACATACAGTCACCTGAAACATGAGGCATTCAATACATTTTCTCCCATTCCAAGTAAGAACATCTTGCTAGCCTAATGTTTATGAATCCAAATAGCAGCGAGAAATTTCTCTTATGTTCACATAGTGCGCTAGCATCATAGTTCGTACTTTTTTAATACCAATTGATGATCTAAATATAACTTAGGGTTAATTGCACCGGAAGTCCCTAGAATATAAAGTTTGTGTCATTTTAGTTTTTAATATTTTAATTACATCATTTTAGTCCCTGAAATATTGAATATATTTCTATGTGATCCCTCAAACAGTTAATATCCAAATTGCTAATAGTTATTTTATCATAAACTTGTAACATGATACATAAATATGGGCAAAAAATAAATTGGGTAGTTCTTGACCAAAATTTAGGTAGCTCCTAACCAAAAATATATAATATAGGTAGCTCTTGATTAAAATTTGGATAGCTTATGATTAAAAACTGTGTAATTTGGACACCTCTTTGACTGAAATTTGTATAAAAATTTGGTCAAGAGTTATCCAAATTATTTTTTTTCCCATATTTAGATATTATGTACAAGTTTATAATAAAAAATTATTAGCAATCTGAACGCTGTCTGCTTGAAAGACCACATAGAAATATATTCAATACTTAAGAGACTAAAATAATGCAATTGAAATATTAGGGACCAAAGTGAGACAAATCTCATACTTTGGGGACCTCCAATGTATTTAACCCCATAACCTAAGAAGGGATAAATTATATTGTATAAGTTAATAACTAATTTTTACTTTCTTTAATTGTAACTAATTATGCAATGTAACAAATGTATGATGAAGAAATGTAATATGAAAGAAGCAAGTAAGTAGTAGGAAAGAAAAAAGATAAATCAGATTTATAGAGATTCGGTCAAATCACTATTAATGTGTATATTCAATGTTTGTCCCACGCCGGTTATACTAGGATATTTTACTATTCTCTTGTATTATAATTACACCTCCTTATGTATATGGAAAAACACACCAAAGCAATATAAAATTGTATTCACTTTCTAATCTTTTCTTTCTCATGGTATCAAAGCCTAGGCTCGTGAATTCTTCTGGGCAAAAATAGTATGCTCTGTGGTTGCCCTACAAGGGATTCTTCACATCAGAACTCTTGTGGCTATTCCTCTTCCAACCATCCTCCGCCGAAGTTCCGACCATCGTCCAACGAAATTTCGATCTATTTAGGCAACCTTCCAGCCATCTTCCAAAGAACTTCTGATCTGTTCTGGCCATCCTTCGACGGCCTCTTGGTCATCCTTCGGCGAAGTTCCAATCTGCTCCAGCAACCTCCCGACCATCCTCTAGCGAACTTCCAATATGTTCTGGCCATCCTTCAGCGACTTTCTGGTTGTCTTCCGATGGCATTCCGAAAGCCTCTAAGCCCTCCTCCTCACGACTTTCTAATCGCCTCTTAGTCATCATCTGGCGACCTCTGTTGTCCTCCGGTGATGTTCTGATCACCTCCNCCAAGCCATCCTCCTCACGACTTTCTAATCGCCTCTTAGTCATCATCTGGCGACCTCTGTTGTCCTCCGGTGACGTTCTGATCACCTCCGAGCCATTCTCCAACGACCTTCAATTATCCTTCAGCAACTTTCCGGTCATCCTCTAGTGACATTCTGACCAGCCCCAACCAATTTTTTATGCTCGTTCTAAAGTCACCAGGTCCATTCCACTTAATATGGTCATGGCCGCTACATTGTCTATGTGACGCTTCCAAATTTGGGTGTCTGTAATTATCCCGTTGATCACCCGTCAACCCGTAGAATACCCCTAGATACCGTAAATTTGATACCACGCCATTATGTCCCATTTATCGGGATCCATAACTCAACAAAATTCGGATAAAGTCTCCTTTGTACAGAGAGCTTTACCCAAAATGTAACTTGTGCAATCATACAATATTGACCACATTGAGTTCATTCATCCATACTCAATTGCATAGCATCAGATACTACCATAATCATCATCACTACGTACATTCATTCATAAAAGAATAAATGTCTCAAAAGAGTCCCATGTACATGCCTTTTAAATATAAACAAGTTTTAGTTACAAAAATTATACAAGGCCAAATTTAAATATATATATAAGGGACTACGACGTCAAAATAAGAGCCACAGTCTGGCTTTGTCGTCAAAGCGGACCAGTAGGAGGGCCTTTTGTGAAAGTCAGTGGTGTACCTGAAAATTGTTCCCATAAAGGGTGAGTCAGTGCTCAATAGGATAACTTCTATAGAGAATACCTCTCAACCCAAATACATATGAAATGTCACACGCAACAATTATTTCATGCTTTCATTCAATATGTCTATTATGAACAAATGCCATGAGATGAGACTCACGCAAGTAATACCAATATCGAGCCCCATTCCAAGCTCCCACAATACATGCATGTCATGCTTATGTATGCTGACATTCCAAGCCCCCATCATTGGTGTTATGTACACTCAATGACTAATTAATTCATTTTATTATGTCTTTGAGAGGAGATGATTTATGGTATTTTACCAATGGTACACCACACCATCAACAAATTTTCAGGACATCCCACCTGCGGCTCCGTTTTTGCCATTAAACTTTTTTAGAATTGCACCGCCAAAAAGTATATAAACCAAGTAAACGGGTCTTGCACCTGAGAGAAAAATCTATCCCTTCTTGATATATCCCAACACGTTTATCCATTTATTTTTTTGTGCGACTCAGCCGGACCTTGATGTGACTTTCTTGATCCCACGATCAACCACCTATGTGGTGATTGATTTTATACCATGCACACACTCCCACCCATGTCAATGCCCATGAATATAGTGCAACCCATGCATAATGAAATACAATGTGCAATTACATTTGGTACCATTTACAATGTCCATTACATAATGAATGAAATATAACGACATTTTCTACACAATCTCAAACATGTTATGTAAGATAATGAACTCAACTAACATACTTACATTCACCTAGACATGTAAACAAGCACCTAGATGGCACATCAATTTACACAACTAGCATGCTTCTTACTTCCAACATGACAACATGTTTATTAAGTCTATAAACATAAGCACAAGTCCATCACATTAATCATATGCTAAATAATAATTTAACATACATATTATTTCATAATTATGTAACAAGCTAATAATTTTATTAAACTTGATATGCCAGTAAACATCAAGTCATGCTAATGTACAATTAACATGCTTTAAACCACTAAAATTATCTTACACCAACTTAATTATAATAAGAATATACAAAAATATAAAAACAAAACTTAATTATAATAATATTTTACTAATTACAAGGTTAATTATAAATCCTATATTTGACCCACTAGTTACATTATTCAATACCTAACATTTGATATACATCCTTAGCCTACCAATTTCATATCCCATCTTTTAGGTTGAAATTATGTCTAAATAGGGGAAACCCTACCTCTTGTAGCTTGAGCTCACGTAGTAGAACTCTAAGAAAAGCCCAAATTTAGCTTCCCAACCCTTATTCCTAGATTCTCATCTTTGATATTTTTAGAGAAAAATGCGATCTTTGGTATGGTTGTGTAGCTCTTGTTGCATAGAGTAACTTTAATTCTATGCCCGGAGCGATTAAACTGTTTGATCTTTGTAGATCTGAGGAAAAAGGTTAAAAATCTAACTTTTTCCCTTTTTCTTTTCTTTTTCTCTCCCTTTTCTCTCTTACTACCGAGGCTTGCCAAGAATTGAGTGGGAAGACTAAAAGTCTTCCACTTTATATACTTTTAAATGCTTGGATCACATCGCGCCACACGTTTAATTTTAACGAGTCCAATTTTATTTCAAATCAATTAAATTTTGTCTCGCGTTAAATTTAATATATTTTTATTGAACTAACTTTAAATTATTTTTTGGGTACTGCAAATAAAATTTTATCTCAATTATTTTATTCGCGCGACACCCTACCCGATCGGTTTATTGAGTAGCTAGATTTTACGAGATGAATCCAATTGTGAGATCCATTTCATCATCTGAATTATATAAAAATTTACATTTTTAACCATTGCTTTAATAAATAATTACTATTTTACCCATTTAATTAGAATTTTAATAAAAAAAAAATTCTCGGGTTTTACATTCTCCCCACTTAAGGGAATTTCGTTCCCGAAATTACACCCACATGTACATATAACAACATACACATGCAAAAAAGTCATTCAATACTCTATTACTATAAGAGACATACCTCCATCCTCAAACAAAAACGGATAGGTAGCTTAGATAGTGTCCTCACGCTCTCATGTCGCCTCCTCCACTTCATGGTGTTGCCACAGCACTTTCACTAGTCTCACAGTCTTGCCACGCAAAATCTACTGTCAACTGTCCATGATATGCATCGGTCCCACCTTGAAGGTCTCATCAGCATCAACCACCAGCTCACCCCAATCCACCACGTGTATAGGATCTGGAGTGTACTTCCGGAGCATGGAGACATTGAACATCATGTAATATCGGATAGATTTGGTGGTAATGCCAACTGTTAAGCGGTTGTACCAACCCTTTCGAGTACCTCAAAGGACCCGTAATACCTCAGCAATAATTTTTTTCGCTTTTCGAACCTGACCACTCCCCTCTTAAGCATCACCTTCAAGAAGACATGATCTCCGACCTCGAACTCCAGAGGTTGCTGCCATTTGTCGGCGTAGCTCTTCTGCCAGCTCTAAGCCGTGAGAAGACGCTTTCGTATCAAGTCCACCTTCTCTGAGGTGCCTCTAATCAAATTCGGACCCATGGAGGGTCTCTTTCTAACCTCTGTCCAACAAATCGGAGAATGACACGATCTCGCATAAAGTACCTCATAGGTTGACATCTGTATTATAATGCCCCAAAATCTACCTTAGACAACATTACTATCTAAAATCATTCACATCATGAGAGCAACTAATAAAATCCATAAATAAAAAAAAATTCATTCATCATACATAATATCTATAGCATCATCCAAAAGAATGTGCCAAACTATGACAATTACACCTAAAAATCAAATATTATCTTGCAGTAGAATAAACCAAATATCATCCATATAATGTCTCAAAATGCATCCCTAGTCTAGAACATAATGAGATCAACTCTAGACATCCCCCTCGGGGTCCATGCTTCCATCCAACTGAGCTTCCCAAGCTACTTACTCATCAAATCTGAGCTCGTCCTCTGAAACAAAATCTAAAAATAAATATTGCTTGTAGGGGGTGAGCACTAAGCTCTGTATGAAAATCATCCTAAACTCAAACAAGGTTTAGAAAACATATAAAACCCGTCGGTCTCATTTTACAAATATCATATATGAATTTTAAAATAAAACAGTGATAGTTCATCCAATCTCAAGTTTACACAATATTAATGAATAGAATGAATAAGTAAAACTAATTTTCAAACCACAAACCTTTCCAATATCAACTATTTCCAACAGTTTCTTGTATCATTCCCCACAATATACCATTACCCACATTATGTATCTATATCTTCAATTGTATCTTTGGTAGAAAGTAAGATTTCGCATGAATATACACATTGAGAATATTCTGACCCACACACATACCCAATCCTCGCAAGGATACACCACATTAGGAAGAGTGCATATCGACGCATCGACAACAACGAATCCAACCAAGGAATATTATACTAACCCTCAGCCTCAGTACCATGTGAGCAAATAATGGTTTGGTCCTCGCAAGGCACCAACCCTACTACGAGTGGTAGGGAACCTTCAAACCCACACGGAGTAAGAAACGCATCTACCCACTCTAAGATACCCGATCAACGGCCACCCATGTTCATCCAAACATCCACAAAAGAGATAAAATACCAAAATAATTTCTCAAATCACAAGTAAATCAAGAACCCCCAATTTCCATGTATTTTTTCAATGGAACAATTTAAAAAAATATGCAAGAGATCATCAAATATATAATTTTTAGTGTTCAAACTAAGAATTAGAGTTTTTAAATCAATAACAAAGGAATATCAAGAGAAAAATCTCTATTTCTTGAAAAACTAGGTTTTGACATCAAAACAAGGATTTTATAGCTATCAAACCATAACTTCATTCAAATCATGGTAAGGTTCGCAAGAACATCAAGAAACAAAGATTTCATGACATATATCTAAGATTTAGAGTCAAAACATACATATATATAAACTCTAATCTCAATGGACAAGAGTGAGAAGAAACCCCTACCTTTCTTCCTTAGTGTTGTGTGAAAAACTAGAAGATTTGATCCACTTTAATGTGAAAATTACCCTTGATCTTGTGTTTCTCCCCCTATTTCTTTCTCTTTAAGACTCTCTAGGGTTAGAAATGGTGAAATGAGGCTAAGAATCAGATCACTTATCATGAATCTGATACTGAGGATTTTGACCTCACATTCGAACGTCATTTGGCGTTCGAATGTTAGTAGTGCAAATTACTACTTCACGTTCGAACGTCATTATGACATTTGAACGTTAGTTGCTCCTAGTAATTTTACCTTTTCCATCAAAGCCCTGCAGGCACCAAAGTACTAGGATTCACTGTCNACTTCACGTTCGAACGTCATTAT